AAAAAGTATTATATATATATATATATATATAGATAAAACATTAATAAAATAAATTTTGGTCCAACCAAGAAGTCGTTGAATAAATAACTTGATTGGTTCGGTGATGGCCCTGAGAACTTGAAGTTACCGCACATTAATAAAAATATTAATATTCACATATCATTGAACATATTATCACAAAAGCATTCTTAATAAGATTATTTGGAGTTTGGACTGCATTATATTTATCACAAAAAATATTTTTAATATTAAAATTTATATTTAGTTTCAATAATTGATGTGGGAGCTAGAGCTGTTAAACGACACGAGTCGCTAGTGAGCTTGGCTCGGCTTGCCTCATCATGTTTGATAAACGAGTCGAGTTCGAGCTTGCTTAAAGCTCGTTTCATTAACGAGTCGAGCTCAGCTCGGCTCGATAAGGCTCAAAAAGAATTTTTATAAGGTTTTCTATAGTTCGACTTGTTAAGGCTCAAACTTAGCTCGTTAATATTGATAAACGAGTCAAGGTTCTGCCTAGTTTACTTAACGAGCCGAGCTCGAGTAGCTCGAGCTCGGCTCGATTCAGTTCGTTTACAGGCCTTTGTCACGCAAAACCGACCCATAACTTAGACACTCGAGATCAACCTCAGTTATTTCATGTTTTTGTACTATTTTAAATATCACCTTAAAGTAGTTTAATCAACCTTGGCAGTAACCTAATTCAATCACCCAACTCGATTGATCCAAAGAAATTTTTATATTTTCCTTAAATGTATTTAATATTGTGAAATAAAAAATATTTAATGATTCATGTAGTAAATGGTTATAACATATGAGAATATATAAAGATTATAAATTATATATCTAAAGATATATCAATTATTTCTTACTTTATGCATATTTATAAAAATAAACATAATAATTTTTAAATAAATAAAATAATTAATTGAGGAGCAGCACATCGGGTCGTTCTTCGAGGGCATATGAAGGTTCGCAAGCTACAACAGGATGGAGGTGTGTGGGGGCCTCAACTAACGGGATATCTTGAACTCGATCAAGGAGGTGCCTCGACCGGAATGAGGACTACGGGGCAGTGGCTGGGTCGTCCAGGAAGATAAAGATATATGAGGTGGGCCCGCTTCTGGACGAGGATGGGATCGACTTCCACTACCCGGTGCTCGAGATGGATAACACCCAAACCTTCAGCTGCCTCTGCTGGAACAGTTACATTCGTAAACATCGCGTCTCTGCTGACCACGATGGAGCCGTCAAGGTGAGGATTCGTTTCCTTTAGTTAGTTTCGGCCAACTTGATTAGCCCGACATGAAAAGATTCGAGCTTTTCGTTTTTTTTTTTTTTTTTTTTTNACTTTTTTTTACCTTTTGTGTTTTACGATGAAACAAAACGGTTTATATATGGCATGTGAGCACGAGTCAAATATTTGTCGGGTTCAACGAGCACCGGACGAGAGCTTGGTCGGTCGACATTTCTCGAATGGACCCCACCAGGTTAGCGAGTGGAGGCAGCAACCGCACGGTTCGTCTGTGGTCGATGAACCATGTATTTTTCGACGTTGTCCCACGTCAAGTTTAGCGTTACTTGAATTTTTAGGTGGTTGGTGTGGCAGAGGAGCTCGGTTGGGGTGTTGTGGAATGAACAGAGCATGAGTTGTGTGCAGTACTCGCCTTACTTGTTGAAAATAAATGAACCAATACACTCAAGAGTTAATATAACAAAGTGATTTTATTATAGATATAAATATTACAAATGTATCACACTCACAACTCACAATATATACACTCTGTTTTTGTAGTACAAGCACCTCACACACTCTTTTCTTTTTCTTTGATCACACAAGGCACACACACACTCTACCTATATTTATACTAGTCATAGAAGCTTCTAGTTTGTAGATTAATTAGTAAACAAACATTAAAATAATATATCTAGCACTTTCTCTTCTAGCACTTTCTTTTCTAGCATTTTCTTAACTAATTGATATTTAATATTGCTAGATATTTCAAGAAACTTCTTCATATGTTGGTGGTGATTTAATTAACACTCCCCCTCACCACCGACATTCTATTGAGTTATATTTTCTTCTCGAACCATTCCAAGGCGTGTTCGGAACTCTTCGAATTTTGATAAATTGAGCCCTTTTGTGAACACGTCGGCTACTTGGTCTTCTGTACCAACATGCTTCATCTCTATCTCCCCTTTGAGCACTTTTTCTCTAACAAAGTGATAGTGAACTTCAACATGTTTTGTTCTCGCGTGGCATACGGGATTTTCTGCTATGCGTATAGCGGATTGATTATCACAATATAGTTGTACCGCATAGCTAAATGACTGATGTAGATCCTTTAATAGTTGCATAAGCCATGTGCTTTCTTGGGCCGCCATTGCTGCTGCTCGGTACTCGGCTTCTGCTGTTGATAGGGACACTGTCGGTTGTCTCTTGCTACACCATGATATTGCGGTCGATCCAAATTTGAACACATATCCAGTAGTGGACCTTCTCGTATCACGACATCCGGCATAGTCCGCATCGCAGTACCCAACAATTTTGAAATCTTTATTCTTTTGATAGAAAAGTCCATAATCGATTGATCCTTTTACATACCTTAGTATGCGTCGTACTAACTCGAGGTGTGGCTTCTTTGGTTTTTCCATGAATCGGCTTGCGATCCCCACTGCATATGAAATGTCTGGCCGTGTTAAGGTTAGGTAGATTAGGCTTCCGACTAGCTGCCTATACATAGTCGCATCCTCCAAGTCTTTGCCATCTTGAGCACATATCTTGGCGTTTGCTTCAATTGGAGTCGATAAAAGCTTGCAGTCAATCATGCCAAATTTCCTCAATAGATCTTTAGCATATTTTGACTGACACAATAAAAGACCGTCGCCTTTTTCTTTTAGCTCAAGCCCCAAAAAGTGCTTAAGTTCTCCAAGTTCTTTCATTTGGAATCTCACCAATAAATTCCGCCTAGTTTGTTGGATTTCTTCTTCATCGTCTCCAGTAATGATGATATCATCAACATATACTAGCACTATTGCTAGTTTTCTTTCTCGTTTCTTGACGAAGAGGTTCGAGTCTGCTGGTGTAACAGAGTATCCACACTGAATTAAGAATTCAGCGATCTTACCGTACCATGCTCGTGGCGCCTGCTTTAACCCGTATAGGGCCTTCTTTAGTTTGCACACGTAGCCTGGATTCTCCTTGTCCTCGAACCCCGCAGGTTGGACCATGTATATTTCTCTGTCGAGCTCTCCATGTAGAAATGCATTCTTCACGTCCATCTGCCATAACTTCCAGGACTTGCTTGCTGCCAGTGCAATCAGTACTCGAACTGTTGTGATTTTCGCCACTGGACTAAATGTCTCATCGTAGTCTAGCCCGTACTGTTGTGAGAATCCACGTGCAACAAGTCGAGCTTTATATCTTTCTATTGATCCGTCAGGCCGCCTTTTTATTTTATAAACCCATTTACAAGATATGGGTTTAACCCCATTCGGTTTGGGTACTAAGTCCCATGTTTCATTCTGCCTTAGAGCCATAATCTCTTCATTCATTGCTTTTGTCCATTCTTTGGTTTTAATTGCTTCCTCAAATATTTGTGGCTCCTTTATACTTGTATCTTCTTCTAAGGCTATATTGGCGTACCTGGGATTTGGCCTCTTTTGTCTGGAAGATCTTCGTAGTTGTTGTGGACTAGTCGATACTTCGTCTTCTTCCTCTCCTGGTGGCTCAATCTCCTCGAGTTGAGTTGGTCTCGTCTCTTCTGGAGTTATTTCATGTACGCCGGTCTGCCATGGACATTGAGTTCTTCTTGATGACTCCTCTTCCTCGTTTGATTCTTCCATTCTTTGAGTTGCTTCTGGAAGCTTCACCCATTTCTGGAGCTTATCCTCGATTTCTTTTGAAGCCGGTAGCTCTAACTTTTGCGGTGTCCACCAAGAAGATGCTTCATCAAATATCACGTTGCGTGATGTGTAACACCGACCAGTTGATGGATCGCAACATCTCCACCCTTTTCTTTGGCTGTCATATCCCAAGAATATGCATCTGATTGCCTTCTTGTCAAATTTGCTCCGTAAGTGACTTGGTACGAACACGTAACAGACACATCCGAAGACTCTGAAGTGGCTAACAGTTGGTTTAGTTTTCCATAGCTTTTCGAATGGTGACATGAATCCCAGCTTTGCTTGTGGTAGCCGATTTATTACATGGGCCGCCGTCTTCATACATTCTGCCCAGAACCTCGCCGGTACGTTCTTTGCATGTATCATGCTTCGACATGTTTCTGCCAGGTGTCGATTTTTCCTTTCTGCTATGCCATTTTGCTGAGGTGTGTTTGGACACGTCAGCTGATGGTGTATCTTATGCTCCTTCAGAAATCGGGAGAATTCTCTTGATGTGTATTCTCCCCCGTTATCCGTGCGAAGGCACTGGATCTTATCTCCGACTTCTCTTTCAACTATTTCTTTGAAGTCTTTGAACTTTGAGAATGCTTCTGATTTTTCTTTAATAAAGAATACCCAAACGTACCTTGAGAAGTCGTCGATAAATGTCACCATATAGCGCATACCGCTGATCGAAGGTTGTTTAACTGGCCCAAATATGTCAGAGTGGATTGTCTCTAGAGGCTTCTTTGCTTTGTAGCTTGAATCTTCAAATGGTAGTTGATGTGCTTTGCCATACTGACAGCCAGCACATATTGTGTTATCCCTTATTTCCAGTTGAGGGAGGCCCTTCAACATTGATTTCTTCATCATCACCTTAAGCTTATGATAGCTCACATGTCCCAGCCTCGCATGCCATAA